GAAATAAAATAATAAAAATGTCAGGTCGAAACCAAAAATGTTTTTTTATTTTTTTCACTTTTTTTTTAAATTTTATTTATTTTTTAAAAAAACTTTTTAATATTTATTTTAATTTTTTTATTCATTTTTTATGAAATATTTCTATTTTTTACTTCACTTTTAGGGGCTTCGGGGAAATATTGGGGGTCTAAACACACCTCTGATATTTACCTTTTAAAATTGAAATACTCATCTGATTCTCTCTTATGTGACATCAAATCATCACCTTCTGCGTTCCGGTCCACATCAAAGGAGATCCATGAGGGGAGGGATTTCCACCGATCGTCATAGTGATAGCCGACGTGTGACAAAGAAGCGGTCACAGATCGGTTCAGTAAATCGAGAAGTGAGCAGAAACATGCCGCCGATCCGCTCACTTCCCTGCAGTGAGCGCTGACTGTCAGTCACGGCTCCTTGCAGGGATTCCCCCTCTCCCCGCTCCGACACTCCAGCGCTGACTGGCGGAACGGACGGGGGCGGGCACAGCTGGCTCTGCCTCTAGATAGGCGGAGCCAGCTGTCACTCACGCCGCTGGGCGGATCCAGGCAGAATTGTCAGGATCCGTCCCGGCTGCGGTGGTCTCAGTATATAGCGGGCAATAGCTCGCCATATACTGAGCTCTGGGTCACTGGAGGAGGTTAGCATATGTCCCCCTGTGACCCTAAAGAGAACTATGGGGGAAAACACTTACCCCACCCATACGTCTCCTTTAAGTGATGTCACTATCTCTGCCTTGCTGCAGTATTAGGAGATCTCTGTCCCGAGTTCCGTCCTCTTACCTCGGTCTCGGGGCGCGGGATAAATACGGGCGGCCTCATCTGCAGCGTCAGATCTAAGAAGTCCCACTCTCCGATAATGTACTGAACGGGGACCCTGCAACGGGAGAGACGTCAGGCAGCCGGAGGAATGACAATCAGGTACGACATGGAGTCAGTCCACCGCCGCTCAGGCCGCTGCAAAACTTTATTCCCGTCGTGTAACAGGGACAGACCCTGAGGAATGGACGGCTGCACCGCCGGCCGAGGCTACACACACACATCGCCCTCCGGGGCCTAATATTGCGCAGGGCGTTGTAAAGTGACAGATGATGATGTAACGACTGCGAGGCCACTTTAGCATGCCCTAAGCACACTCCATGCAGATTTATTCATTAAGTCGTTCCTACCATTAACAGATACGGTCTCCCTTCTGCAATGGAAACGCCAGCCGCGGCTCGCTCTCTTTTGGAACGCGGCTCGGTGCAGATAACACCCTCTATGTGAGACCGGTGAACGCTGTGCCCGCTCCTTCCCCGGCCACCGATTGCGTAACTTCCCCGTTGTAGTCACATTCTAACAGAACAGCGTCATTGCGTCAGTGGGAGGACCTTGGTGACTCAGACTACGGGTCTGCCCCGCCCACTCTAACTGCCTAATTTGATTGACAGGCCAGGTGACTCCTGGTCTGCCTCGCCCACCATGACATCACACCTTGACTACAAGGCCAGGAGACTCCTGGTCTGCCCCGCCCACCATGACATCACACCTTGACTACAAGGCCAGGAGACTCCGGGTCTGCCCCGCCCACCATGACATCATACCTTGACTACAAGGCCAGGAGACTCCTGTTCTGCCCCGCCCACCATGACATCACACCTTGACTAAAAGGCCAGGAGACTCCTGCTCTGCCCCGCCCACATGGATGCCCATAGACAGCTATAATTCCAATGACATGATGGGAATTGTAGTTTGTTCCAGCGGTGCCGGAAGTGACGTCGGTGCTTCCGTTATACCGCCTCCGGGTACCCGGGCACAGCCGCACTTTCTGCTTCCAAATGATGACATCATCAACTTTATAAATTTACCTCTTCAGCCGTTCCTGCGCCATCTTCGCTATGTGCTCCAGCTGTCCCGCGGAGACCGGTAAGCGAGCCAGGCGCCGGGCCAGACCACGATACTGCAGGTAACAAAAACAAGAAGTGAAACACAGAAATGCAAAAGCTGTAATGAAACCATTTCCTC